ACACCACGCACACAATAAAAAAAACACATGCTCTATGAGATCCTTTAAGGGCTAGGCAAATATATCCTCCTTCATATACAAATACAAAGATGTTATATTATTTTGTAACTAGTAGAAATTACTGTTTGTCCCAAACTCCAAGTTTGGGGGGAAAAGTGAAGATTTAAGTAAACATGGGTAGTGATCCCAACAGAGGACAACTATATAAAATTGCAGAGGCTGGGCTCATTTTCTTGATAATTACTTGGTTGTTTTCCTTAGCTTCATGACAACCCTCTATTGGTTTCATTCTCAGAATCTATATAATAGGGTTGGGGGATATCAACATCTTTATAATTTGAAGATTAATTTTTTAAATCCTCATATGAGAATATTTCTATCGACTTTTAGAGAGAGTGGGAAGGGGAGAGACAGAGAAAGAGAAACATTGATGTGAGAGAGATACATCGATTTGTTTTGTCCTGTATGCAACCTGACCAGGGCTGAGGATCGAGTCAGGAACCAAGGTGCATGTCCTTGACCAGAATCTAACCCAGGACCCTTCAGTCCACAGGCCAATGTCCTACCCATTGAGCCAAACTGGCTAGGGCTAAAGATCTCTTTATGGCAAGGCAAGTATATTACTATGGTTAGCAAATACTCGTTGTTTAGTTTATTCAATTAATTGTATTTGGTTCCATCTTTATTCCAGAGAGAATATAGGTGGCTTATTTGATGTACTAGTACACTCAATACATGATCCTAATTGCTCCCAGAGGTTTTGCCAGACTACATGCAAAAATCAACAAAACAGCACAAGCACCCTATAAAATGTGAAAGAAAAAAAAAAAGTAGAATAAATTCATGCCATTCCAAGTAAGAAAGCTCTGGTTAATGACACTTGTAATACTTAGTAAGACTAAATCATAAAATTTGCAAAAACTGCCCTAGGATTCAAAGTTTTTTTGTTATATTTCCTGCCATGTGAAAGCACATCACAAAAGTACAGCCTTCTTAGCCTAACGGGTTTGGCTCAGTGGATAGAGCTTCAGCCTGAGAACTGAAGGACCTAGAGTTTGATTCTGGTCAAGGGCACATACAGGGTTGCAGGCTCGATCCCCACTAGGGGGCGTGCAGGAGGCAGCTGATCAATGATTCTCATCATCGATGTTTCTATCTATTTCTAAAAGAAGGTTTCAGCTTTGAAATGACTTAGAGGCAAAATCTAACGTCCAGATGGCCTTGTTCTCCTTGGATATTAACCATTCCAGCATTAGGCCAATCTCTGAGATTGGGAAATCAAACAAGGTCATAGCCAAGAAATGTAGAGACGTAAAAGAATAGAGCAAGTCAAAGCTAATTTTAAAGATTATAGTCCAATCACACATTTCCTAAAAGTGGCAGGGGAGTTTTAACTTACTAGAAATAAAATTATATCTGAATCTAAGTCCATAAATGAATGATGTACCACCATTTGGTCCACAACAATTATTTCCTAATATTGAGAGAGGGCTCTTATAGTTCTGTTGCTTACAACAGATGAATTTGATATTTAAAACTAAGTGCACATAAGCATATAACTTCTGAGTCTATCATAAACAAGAATAAGGTACATCATAAAAAACAAAGTGGCCCTGAGGCTTTTTGACCAAAGGAAGAATGTCATGTCCTTGAACACCATCCAACCTTTTCAGCACCTTCAGCCCAGAAAAGAGTATGGGGCCCAGTCCCACCATGTCACAAGGAACAAAAACAAAATATTAATCACCAATAGCATAAGGAAATACCATAAGGACTATTTAAATGTGTTTTTAAAATAACAAAACTACACAAGTGCTTTTAAAAATAACAAGTATCAAATATCCCTCCTCTCCAAAACATGTTGCTTTTGTTCACCTGTGTTTAGTTTGCTCACTGCGTACTAAGCCCGATCAAGAAAGACAAGTTAAAAACTGCCTATCTGAAGATGTCCGTAGTGCGATTTGCAGGACTTTAAGGTCACCCGCCAGAAGTTCAGGAGTCCAGAGGAATCCACAAGGAAGTGGCCTCCGTGTCAGACATTCAGGTCTGATGCTGGAGAGAAGCCACATGGGGGGAGGTTTGTGCAGAGACACATGCATCTGCTCGGATAGGTGCCTGGATGGGACTCCATCCTCCTGTCAACAGTGGGGAAAAGATGTCAAAGAGCCTGTAGCTCTACAAGGGCATGCCTTGTTGCTATCTCTTTCCCAACCTGTTAGGAAATGAACACAGGGGTGGATGGTAGCAACTGCCATGGCTTTCCCATCTCTCAGTGGAAAACTGCCAATAGACAAGAAAAGTGTTGACCATCAAGGTGATCTTTCCCAAAAGTTTAATTTAACTCCTCTTTGTTATAACAATGCAAGCAGCAAAATGATTTGGTGGTTTCACTTCGTATGGTAGTAGGTTGTGGTGTTTCCCATAAAGGGATCTGTGCCTTCTCCAGATATTGAAACTCCACTTGGAGATTTCACATTTCAGCCAAGGCCAGAACACAGAGATGAAAAGGGCCTCGCAAAGATGAATTACACTCTAAAATACCAAACATGCTTGCACTTATGAAAAGAGCTTTTAATAATAAGTATAATTTATCTCAACTGACTGTAATACAAAAACCTTAGTAAGCTCTGATTTTTCACATTTCAAATTAGAAACCAGTCTACGTTCCCAACAGCTTGATTTATTTCAAGGTATTGCAGAACAAGTTCTTAATTTCATCAAACAGAATTCCTCAATAGTCTCTACGGTTCATGCCATAATATAATGATATACGCAAAGCATGTTCAAATGATAGAATGTTTCTGAATCATCAAAGAATATTCTAATTATATTACATTTGATTTTGGTATATATATGTTTTACTATATTCTAACTCTGAAAAACTGGTAATTGTTGCATAATGTATGTATATACAATATTTAACAACCTAGTTTTAGGACATATTTCTCAAAAAGGCTCAATTTCCAAGGAAAATTTAAAAGGAAAAAAATTAGGTTTGATTTTTTTTTTTCTGTTTGCCATATTATATGCAAACATATAGATTAAGAGATGCTACACTGAATGCAGCAAGAAAAAGACGTGACAAAACTTCAGGGCAGATATTGAAAGGTTGAATTCTGATATTGCATAACTATTCAGAGTTTTGTTCTGCTCAAGGAAAGAACATTCTTATGTGAGCATAATTATTTCTGTACATGTTCAGAAGTGCATTTCAAATAACAGCTTTATTAATTTCAAATCAAGGTGTGATTCTAAGGCACAGAACATACCCGTTATTTAAGCTGACTTAAAATACTTATCAACTCTTTTTCTACTCGAAGGTTCCTTTTCCTTTCCCATTCTTTGTAAAGTGAGTGAGGGAGCTTTAAGAACATGTTTGGGTGCATTTCACTCTTGGCTCTCTTGCTACGCATAGAAAATATCAGTCAACTAAGAAGATGTTTTAAAGATTACAAGCTCATGAAATTTTCTCAACTTCAGAAAATTTCTGACAAAATTCATTATATTATATAAATAATTTATCATTGCAATCAGTGTATAGTTTATAAAGTTATAAAGAGTTTTTCTTTTGGGGATTCTAATTATCCAGACATACCAAAATAAAATAATAAATTCACTGAAATTTACATTTAAAATTGTTCAGTCTTTTTAATGTTTTGTTATCAAATTGTAATAATATTAAAATGTTTTGATGAAAGTAATGAAAAATCAACTTAGTATTCATTTTTAAATCTAAATTTAAATAGAACTTTTATCCTTAAAGTATATATTATTTTTGTCAAAATGATTCTGTACAATACAGAGTAAATATATAGTTGTAAAAAAATAATTTTTCTAAGATAAAAATACAGTCAAGACACACAAAAAAAATATTCTGTTTGACTTTGCATTTTTATTTGGATATTTACTTGATGTATCTTTCCAACACCATTTAAAACAAGGCTAATCTGACACCTGTAGTTCTGGGGTTCTTTTGGTATTTAACCTCACATTAGAAAAGCATGATGACAAGGAAGATCAGACAATGAAGGGCTGAAGACTAAGTCTACATGAGGAAACTTTCATTAAATTTTTTGGTTTATTTTCCATGGAAATAAAGATGCAATTATTTGGGGACGTGGATGGCATCTGAGTTTTTTTGTTTGGTTGTTTTGTTTGCTTTGGTATTTGTTTTTGTTAGCTTTATTCTTAGAGCATTTCTTTACCAAAGTTACAGATATAATTAAAATTTTTACAACACTGAAATATTAGAAGTTCTCCTTTGCACTGGATTTACCTCATGTGAAAAGACACCCCTCCTAAATCAATATCAAAAGTCTATATGTTCAGATTTAGGAGCAACAAAACCATGAAGACAGCCAAACTATAAAAGCCCATTTTCAGATCTGGAACAACTTCTGAAAATAAAGAGGATACTTGGCATACATTACACTAAATGAAAAGTCCAACTCTCATTATTTCCTGATTCTGGGAATCCAATAAAAACCTTACAGAATAAAAACTCGTTTGCAAAAATTCCATCACCGACAACATAACCAACCACCACTACCACCCTCTATAGTGAGAGTATGAAAAATTTTACTTTTTCATGTGTGTTTTATAAGAAAGATGTAAATGAAATTTTGGGGGGTGTTTTTTTTGGGGGGGGTGTTTTTTTGTTTTGTTTTGTATTTGTTTGTTGTGTGTTTTTTGTTTTTGTTTTTTGCTTTTCAAACAGCAATGACTTTTAGCACCTGAAAAATACACAACTAAAATACACGCATATCCATTTACAAAGAAAAACCAACAAAAATGAAAATGTTGGCGATTACGTAAATGCTGATGACGCCAATATGGAAGCATGTACCACCGTGAAGGGCCTGAGCCGAATCACATCTTGTCCTGATCATACCTGCCCGCCAGAACAAAATAGGCAGCTGACCAATTTGGGGAGTTTATCTACACAGTGGTACCTTTGTTCTGCAATGTCAGATTGCAAACGTCCTGGAACACATATTTACCTGGAGGATTCTTGGCAGGATCATTGTGGCTTGGACTTCCTGATTGTCCAGAATCTGTAACGAAATCACAGAAAATGTTTTATTTTTAATTTGTTTTCAAAGAATTTTGCAATCCTCAGAAGGGCTTCAAACGTGTTTTTAAGGTAGAACAATGAAGTTGAGTGTTTAGATAAAGTCTGCTTTCCCAAGCTTTTCAGCAGCAACATTTTTTATTTATCAAATTAGATAAATGCCTATACGTATTTCTATAGGGGGGAGGATAGCTCTGCAAGATTATTTGGGTAGAGCAAGGCTTTTTTGAAACGAAAGATCTGGCAACAATGGTGGTTTGAAGGTTGGGCCTGTCAGGAGCAACATGAAATACCCCAGATAAATCCCCTAAAAATGCAATCTGAGTGCAATTAAACATGCTTTTAAAAAACCTGAAGAGGGTTTTATTCAATGATGAAAATACACAGAAACGAGAGCTCGTTTTTCCAAGATTTCGGTGTGCATACACATGTGTGTGCTCCAATAATTCCCCCAACCTACTGGACCCAGGCCCAGATTTGTCCACATCCCATAATAGTAATCGATTTGCAAACACCAAGAAAAAGCACAAATTACTAGGTAGATACCACCAACAGGGCTTGGAGGAGAGCAAATTGTTGGATCAATTTAATTTCCATCTGTGATAGACGGAGAGACTGCAGATAAGGAGGGGGGAGATGGATGCTGTGGATCTGGATTTCCTGCACCACTTTATTCCTCACCGATGCCGCAGAAGGGAACATGAAGGCTACTCTACAGTTAGGCAACGAGCCTGGCCTGACTAATCCGACCCCGTGGTGTTTTGTTCACCCCTCTTTCCTCCTTGTCCCTTCTGCGTTTAGCTGTGTCACTTGTCCCCTATTATTACACACTTACTTGCTTACACGTCCCTTTGTAATATTCCCTGATTGGTTCTCCTTCTTAAGCTTTGTCTCCCCAACTAAATGGCATGCTCCTAAGCAGAGACTGTCTACCTCTTTGTGTCTTCCTCCGTGTGCTGTTCGGGGCTGTGAATGCACCGGGGCTTTCAGAAAATGCCAGAGACATGGACGGCTCAGGTTCAGCAGCTCCTTTGCTTGCCTAGAAAAGGTCATTTTGAACTTGATGGTAAACTTCAACAAAACCTGATAGGTGGGCACAGACACGTCAGCCCTTTCTCTGGGACCCTGCCACTGTAGCTAAGCCAAGACAGGGATCCAGTGCCATTGAAGCAGAAGAATCTTGTGCAAGTTTTTTTTAAGTGGGGTTACTCGGCTCTTTCCCTGCAGAGATGAACATACTGCAATTGCTGTTTCTGCTATTCAATGCAAGGACATCCCGTTAGTTTCTTTCTGTCAAAAACTTGGTATTTATTTCTGCCCTTTGCCTCAGGCCTGCTAACTAGATTTAATGCTGAGATCGGATTTCTTTTTTAACCCCTTCATTCCACTTCCTTGTCAGTGTCTTTTTGTGCCAGAACAGTTTTCATGTAATCGTAGTAAACATATTTAGTGATTCCCACATTACCCTCCAATTGATCCTGAGTTCTCAAAATGGAAGCAAAAACCTGGTATAAGGACTACTCCTGCAAGTCAAATTCTGACTAGGGTTGTCCCTCTGAAAAAGCTGGTCCCTCATCTCCAAATTATTCTATTACATCTTCTGAAATTGAGGAGCGATTCAGTGATGTATAACTTGGGAGATCCATCTTTCTCTTTTTTTACATTCCTGTAAAAGATGGTACAACATTGGCCACTTTCCAGGCATGGAGCATGAGGGTTGCATAAAAATGATAAATCATAGCATTTTGCTACAACCTCAGCTATTTTTGCCTTGAGCCCCTCTGACAAATGGCCCTCTGTATTGATACTACATTACAGTTTCATTTCTCAAGCAACTCCAACATTTTGAGGGTTCCTTAGGACACCCACTGACCAAAGCATTCCCGTGTTTTCTTTTCCCCTCTAATGCTGCCTCATATCTAAGGAGGTCTAGACACGCATCCTTCAAGGTGGCTCATTCCACCTTCATGAAGACACACTGTGTGGCAGGTTAAGGTTATCAACAGAGAACAGGAGTTGTAGACTCTACATGAAGCTTAGAATGGTTAGTTCAATCACCTTCAAAATGGTATCATGAAACGCTAAAAGTTGGACCAGTAAAGAATGGCAGTCCTGCCCCCTAACCGGTTTGGCTCAGTGGATAGACATCGGCCTGCGGACTGAATGGTCCCAGGTTTGATTCGGGTCAAGGGCATGTACCTTGGTTGCGGGCACATCCCCAGTAGGGGGCGTGCAGGAGGCAGCTGATGGATGTTTCTCTCTCATGGATGTTTCTAACTCTCTATCCCTCTCCCTTCCTCTCTGTAAAAAAAAAAAAAAAAAAAAAAAAAAAAAAAAAAAAATAAAAAAAAAAAAAAAAATAACAGTCATTTCCCTTCCTAAGAAAGTATTCCATTGGAACAATGGCACCCCCTGTGACCACAACATCCCACTTGGGAAACCCTGTTCTTTTCTACTACAAATTACCCTTTTCCTCCATTTCCAACAAATGCAGGCTAACCTCTTCAATTGAAAAATATATAATCACTAAAAAAACCCACAAGCATTTGAGGGAAATCTGAAATAGACCTTAAAATTTGAGTCATATACTAGGTTTTAATAAGAATTCCACTTACTAAAATGATCTGGCATTTACTGGCACACAACGGCAGCTCATACTCCAAAGCCTGTACCGTCCCAGGAGGTAAAATGGCATATACTGGCTCCCCAAGCATAGAGGAGGGCCCCTCTGGGAGAGGGCTAGGAAACACTTACTTTTCAGACTGTAAATTCTAACATTATTATCTACTCTTAACTCTTATGTCACCTTATATCGGTCACTTAATTCCAGCTGCTGGAAAAGGAAGCAAGCAGGGAGTCGCACTTGGCAAAAAAGCCAAAAATGGACTGTTATTGTGGTTATCTTCAGAGAAGCAATTATTGAGACCACATCCAAAACCCTTCCAGTTCACTACCCAGGTCAAATTACTCTATATCCAAAGGTTTCATTTAACCACTTCCATCATTTGCTCAAGTCGTGTGTGTGTGTGTGTGTGTGTGTGTGTGTGTGTGTGTACTTAATGTGTCATAGCTCTGCCCCTCACTACTGTGATCTTGTGCAAAATTACTTAAGTCGTAGAGCCTTGGGGTCTTAATTTTTAAAACTGTAATACTATCTATGTCATAGAATCATTGCCAATATTTTATTATATAAGGCAGGGGTTCTCAACCGTCTTATTGCTGCTACACTTTAATACAGTTCCTCATGTTGGGATGACCCCCAACCATAAAATTATTTTCCTTGCTACTTCATAACTGTAATTTTGCTACTGTTATGAATTGTAATGTAAATATCTGTGTTTTCTTAGGCAACCCTGCTAGTGGTTCTCAACCCACATAAGGAACTGTATTAAAAGGTAGCGGCATTAGGAAGGTTGAGAACCACTGATATAAGGCATCAAGCACTGGTTAGACACATTCTTCACAATCCATAAATGAAAGTAATATTAAACGCAGAGGCCACATTTTAAAAAATAATTCATAGTTTGAATCGACCAACTTTTAGGAAGAAAAGGAGAAAAGCGATGTGACAGAATCCTGTCCATCCTAAGACAAGCATCTAAAATTGTCTGTGGGACTGTCAAATTACAGTGGGGAGGGGAGGAAGATCTGGGGGAGATAATAGATCAACCGAAGGACTTGTATGCATGCATATAAGTACAGCCAATGGACATAAAACTCTGGGGAGGGAGGGTATGTATGGGAGGGAGGGAGGGAGAGGGGCAAAAAAAAAAATCAAAAAATCAAAATTTATTTTAAAAAATAACAATAAAAAAATAAATAAAAATTGTCTGTGGTTAATCAACTGAACACAGACCCAGTGTGTGGCCTTCGGAGAAGTCCCACTATCCTCAAAATAGACAAGTCATATTGCTGTTGATAGGATCTCAGGAGCTATCCCACTCAAAAAGCAATAGGTATCAGCCATCTGATAAAATTACCTAACATAAGGCTTAAATATTTGAGGAAGAAGGCTGGTAAGGGTGGGGTTGTGAGTCACCCCGCACACTGGATCCTCAGTTTAGAAAGATTTTGATTCAGTAGAAAAATAAGGGAGGAGACTGGGTCTTGAAGGCAACAGACCTAAACCAGTCCTCGTCATTCCCTCCGCATTTCATTTTTGTCTTCCTTGATCTCAATCTCTATTTTTTTTTCCATTTCCTTGTTTATATCTTTCTGGTTTATAGCACATAATGTATATCTTGTACTCCATACATATGATAATCTCATATTCCCATTCTTTAAGTTTAAGTGTGAATCAAGCATACTATATTTCTTCTTCTAGGAAAAATATTAATAAAATTATTTCTAAATTACTAGTCAATGAATTCCTCCTCTCTTAGGGTTATAGATTCCCCAGAAACTTATTAAGAAAGGTTCATACATGAAGACCCTTACCAACTTTTCCTCAACACTTCTACACTCCTTATAAAAAAAAGCAGCCAAATCTTTTATGGCTTTTCTAATATCTAAACTTTACCTAAGGAGTGACTGGGTTTTGTAACGAGCCAATTTTATAGAAAATCCTGGATACTTCAGTGACTTAAATGGCTTATCCAAAGTTAAATGGCAACTATTAAAATGCATGTCCTCTACATGGGTCACCCATTCAGACACATTGCCTCTTGGGTGGCTATGATGCAATCTGAAAATCATGCAAAGCCAAATGATCTCTTAGTAGATTCTGTGTTTCTGAGAACTTGACCTTCCCTTAACTTCCCACCATTTACCAATACATTCAAAAAACTTTTCACAAATAAAACACACACACACACACACACACACACATACACGCACAAAAAAAAAACAAAAAAAAAACCTTTAGCTATTCTTTCTACCTACATTGGAAATAATAATTGAAGTCTTTACACCAATTGATGCTATTAAGACTGGCCAACTCTAAATCAAATTTAGTTTGGATTCTCTCCACTAAACAAAGGACAT